TTTCTCTTCTCCTTCTTTCAGTTGCAGATGTATGTTGGGAAAAAGCAATGGAATAAATATGCAGAGAATGCTGCAGCTGAAGTTGCATTGCAAAAACATCATCTCCAAAGAGAGATTTTATTCCATTCTTTTTTTGGACTATGCACTATTCTCCTCCTCAGACTAGACAAGTTTTATTTAATGCTCCCACTTGAGATCTGATACGGATGTTTTGACTAGGGGATATGCAAGCTTTCTCTGGTTCACTCAAAAAATGCCTTGAGCTTTTGAAATGTTCAAGCTGAATGTTCAAGGGGGAGCCCCTGAGGTCTCTTCAAGCATTTAACTTTGAACACTTGAAAAGCCCAATATCCTGCTGCTCTGCCACCCATTCTGCCAGTCCTCCCACCCATGGGTGTCCATGGGTGTGGAGAGAAGACAAGGAGACCGTTGTTGCCCCCTCCCAGATCTCAGGACTCTTCCGAATTGACTGAAATGGGGAAATCAGCAAATACCTTTAACCTGTTTTCTTTCTTTTTTACAGAATTGGTCAACATTAGCAGGCATGGCAAGGCCTTTAGAGATCATCTTATGAGATCAAGTCTGTCAAATTCTACACAACTAGATACAAAGTGTGTGTGTGTCTGTGAGACACCTTGACAAAGTTTGAGGCTTTTAAAAAAAGAGAGAATAAAAGAAATGACTGTAACTTTTTTAATGAATCAGATGAAATGGTGTCAGTATTGGAATAAACAACCTGGGTACAGAAAGTTTCAGTACGTGACATTTTAGAACTGTGTATCATCATTCTTGCCACCATCCATTTTCTTCACTGCCACCACCAAGGGACTAAGGCTGCAGCCCTACGCCAGCTTATCTAGGAGTAAGCCTAGCTGAACTTAATGTGCCTTCCTTCTGAGTAGGCATGTACTGTATAGGAATGTGCTGTGAGGGGCAGCATTGGGATCCGGCAGGATCTGCATTTCATGTTTATCTTGCAAGTCTATCCAACTGAATCATGAAAAAGTTTTCAGGCAGACACCAGAATTGTGAAAGGTTGTCCTCAACTTAGATCTGTGAACTTCATGGAAAGTGGATTAGTGCCAGCTATTCTCAGAGTTTAGTTCTGATGACATAAGCTAGGTACTTTCCATGCATTTTCTAGGAATAAGAGAATTTTTAAACGGGGCTAGTTTAGCCTAGCAATGAGTAGTCTTTCTGGATTTCACATCTCAATGTTACCAAAATCCCCTCTCCTCAAACAGGTTTCTTATTTCCATAGCTGAAGTTGTGGGGAAGACATTATGGACTCCCAGCCTTCCTTGCCTAATCTGATTCTTTGGGCACATTAATGGTATATTATCTGTTGTGGGACGTAATCTTCTTTGCCAGGCTGAAGTGGTGGCAGCATTTCCAGCTTTCACAGTGCAATGTAGTCTACATGAGGCTTAAAGGTAAAGGTAAAGGTACCCCTGCCCGTACGGGCCAGTCTTGCCAGACTCTAGGGTTGTGTGCTCATCTCACTCTATAGTCCGGGAGCCAGCGCTGTCCGCAGACACTTCCGGGTCACGTGGCCAGCGTGACAAGCTGCATCTGGCGAGCCAGCGCAGCACACGGAATGCCGTTTACCTTCCCGCTGGTAAGCGGTCCCTATTTATCTACTTGCACCTGAGGGTGCTTTCGAACTGCTAGGTTGGCAGGTGCTGGGACTGAGCGACGGGAGCGCACCCCGCCGCGGGGATTCGAACCTCCGACCTTTCGATCGGCAAGTCCTAGGCGCTGAAGCTTTTACCCACAGCGCCACCCGCGTCCCTTAAAAGCAACTTCCCTGACCGGGAATCGAACCCGGGCCGCGGCGGTGAGAGCACCGAATCCTAACCACTAGACCACCAGGGATTACACCCATGTAAATGCATAAGCTTTTCTTAGCGCACATTGGCTACAAGCATTACTTAAAGGCGTATTGGTGGTTCAGTGGTAGAATTCTTGACTGCCATTCGGGAGGCCCAGGCTTAATTCTTGGTCAATGCAACTCTCATTTGAGCGACCCTCAACTGGCACAGGCTGTTGCTAGATCTGGCTATTAACCAGAAGTTTGGCAGTTTGAGCCCACCCAGGGACGGCTGTGGGCAGGGAGTTGGACTAGATGACTATTGGAGTCCCTTCCAATACTACAGTTCTTTGATTCTGTGCTCCTAAGATCACTGAAATAAATGGGCTTGGATGCACCTGACTATATGTTGAACTGAGACGTCTAGGTCAACAGAGTTAATGGAGGAATTAAGTGTTGTGGCTGGTATGAGTGGGAGGTTTGGAAGACACATTCTTAACTACATTCTCCTCCAGTTCTGAAGTTCCCCTGTGGGACGTCTTAAAAGCTGTGTGCAAAAATAAAAAGTATGCGCCCAAGCAATCCAAATCCTGCACCAAGTAAAACTGAATACATTTATGGTTCAGTGGGCCCAAACCCGTTGACCTTCTTCCATGCAGGGACCATCCTTGCTGAACTTCAGGCCCATGACTAAGACCTGCTTGTTCCAGCAGGCATGTTAATGTAGTGTTCAGTTTTCTGATAAATTTGCATTATTCTGTTATTTCATTCTCTGTATGTTCTGTTTTTATGCACCCTGCTTAGAAATGTGAATGATTAAGTGGTATATAAACGTCATAAATAAATACAATATTCCACCTTTCTGCCAAGGAGTTCAAGGTGGCCTGCATGGTGTTCTTCCCCTTCTCGTTTTGTCATCACAACAACCTTGTGAGGCAGGACTAAATAAAGTCCCATAGCCTAACCTACCTCACAGGTGTGCTGTCAGGATAAATGCTCTCTTTGAACTTTCTGTTTACTATTTTAAAGCACATTTTATACCATCCTTCCTCCAATGACCTCATGGAATTGTTCTTTCCTACCCTTATTTCAAAGGGACGCAGGTGGCACTGTGGTCTTAAACCACTGAGCCTCTTGGGCTCACGGATCAGAAGGTGAGCTCCCATTGCTCAGTCCCAGCTCCTGCCAACCTAGCTATTCGAAAGCACGTGAAAAAGTGCAAGTAGATAAATAGGTACCGCTCCGGTGGGAAGGTATACGGCATTTCCATGTGCTGCTCTGGTTTTGGTGTTCCGTTGCGCCAGAAGTGGCTTAGTCATGCTGGCCACATGACCTGGAAAAACTGTCTGCGGACAAACGCCAGCTCCCTTGGCCTCTAAAGCGAGATGAGCGCCGCATCCCCGGAGTCTTCCGTGACTGGACTTAACGGTCAGGGGTCCTTTACCTTTACCTTTTACTTACCCTTCTTTCATCCTTACAATAATCCTGTTAGGTAGATTAGGCTGGGAGACAGTGACTGGTCCAAGGTCATCCAATGGACAATCCAGATGTCATCCAGATGACAATCTAGCCACTATAATAGCCTTACCCAACCTAGTGCCTACCAGATGTTTAGCTGGAACTACAACTCCCATAACCCCAGGCCAGCATAGCCAATAGTCAGGGATGGTGGGAGTTGTAGTCCAACAACTTCTGGAAGGCACTAGAGGTTGGGGAAGACTTCACTGCACCATACTAGCTCTCCGTTTTTCTTTTGTGCACTGGAAATAAGACCGTGTAGGAGGGTGCCAGAAGAACAGAATAACTTTAAAATTCTGAGGGACTTGCCTGCATTTGGTCAATGGAAAACATAAACGTGTTCTCAGTCATTGACAATACGCTGATCTAAGCTATTAAGGCATTTGTTATCAGTGGGGGGAAATTCTGGTAGCTGTTGGAGGCTAGCTCTGCTTCTTGGGTCCCATAATCCAGAGACCACATCCTCTTAAGATATATCTCCCCACAATGCCTCTACCCCCCCCTAAAAAAAAGTTTTTTGTGATAAAGGAGCCACAGCAGAGGATCTTCGCAAGGCAGGAGTTTAAAAAGCACATTCAGTACCAGAAGATCTAGGCATCCAGTCAAATATTTCCTTTGTTTGCCCCTTGTCCAGCTGCCAGTAAAGCCCTTTTGGAAAAAAGAAACGCACCCACCAGCTTCAATGTTCTCAGGATGCTAAGCCAGGACTGAATGGATTTTGCAAGGTGCTTAGTCACAGCAAGGGGGAAAAAGCTCATAATAAAAGAGGGCTCTAAGGCATAGCGGAATATTGATGCTGTCACTTCAATGGTTGGGCGAGTGATAAAAGGCAGGGATAAGTGTCTGTATCTCATCCTTGAAAATCTCCAGGCTGGGAAGGCGCTGCCTGTTTGGGGCAGGGAGAGGCTGTAGGGCAGGGAAACAGCTGTGACCAGACAGGGATGGGTGAGCCCTTTCTGCCATGCCTCCACAGAGGAGGAGAGGCCTTCCAAAACAGGGGAAGCTGGGGAGGGGAGCTTACACCCCAGGTTCTTGGCTGCAACAGCTTAGCAGGAGGGACATGACTAATACACATCCCACTGGGGGAGTTAGATCAAAGGCAGTGAAGTAGATACAAGAGGTTTCTGCTTCACAGGATCTGGTTAAATAGAGCCTTTGTTACCAGGGCCCTCCAGAGTCAGGAATGGAGAAATACCTGATCTCTCCCAGCCTCCCCCCACCCGGCCGCCTCCACCACCGCCAAGAGCCTTGATGCGGAATCAGTTCAAGTATGAAGCACAACAGTAGCTGCTTGGCTACTGCCGGAGGAACCTAGAGGGAGGGGAGAGGAGGGGGGGGAGATGACGGGAAGGGAGGGGTCCTGGGCTTCACACACACACAAAATGAGTCAGGTTTAGTTGGACACACAGCTCAGATTTCCGAAGCTGGAGTGGAAAGCAGCGGGCTCAGGGCTAGCCACCAGCTGGATTGCCTGGGTGCTTACAAGCGGGACAATCTTTTCCTAAAGCTCTGATGGGAGGTCTAGGAAGGACAAAGCCTGGCCTGGCTTCTTGTCACCAGCTTGAGGGCTTGATGCTTCTACCTGGTGCTGTCCCTAAGGCCTGCATCCTTCCCACCTGCCTGCCTTGGCACCCTCTCCGCTGCCAGGGGTTTTTGTCTGCTGAAGGTGAGATCATCTGCATCTAGTGGTCAGACCAGAGACTTCAGAATAAGTCTCAGGTTTGGTCCTTTTCATTTGGAGAGGGGTGTGCATGTTGTACGTGCAGTGTGGCGACGAATGGTTTGGCAGCAGGGGGGAAGTGGAGGTGGTGGTGAAAGGTGTGAGCGCTTAGAGAGCACCAGGTTCGAGACCACTCTGGTTCGTTTATGCCTTGACCCACTGTATCTACCCTTACAACTAATACATGGGGGATGAAGTGTGGCAAAAGAGCTGGAGGGTTTGTCGGCTTTCTGTGTACGTTTAGGTGCAGAGCGTGCACCTATTCTTTTATTCTTTTTCACACAAAATATTTCTATACTGCCTTTCATTTGAAATCTCAAGGCTGTTTACAGTAAAAAGAATAAGAACAAATAAATATTAAAATTATGATACAGACTAAAACAGCAGCCGGCAGACCGGGGAAGGAATAAAATTAAGAAATACAACCAACTGGTACAAATGACCAGCAAACATTAGAGAAATTAACTGAGTTTTTAGCAAGTGCAAAAAGGCCTTTAGAGGGGAGATAGCTCCATAGAGAAAATTAATCTGTGTTAGTGATTGAACATAGAGTTGTAGGTCATTTGAAGCTAATTAATCTGGAATAAAAGGCTATGACTTTTGGTGCTTTCACAAATGATGCTAAGATGACTTTTTGTGCATTGAACAAGCTGCATGTCCCACTAAATCCAGTGGGCTTTATTCACAGGTAAGTATGAATACTGTTTGTAGTTTAAGGTTTTGAACACTTACTTACTTGGGACTAAGCTCCAATGAACTTAGCGGGACTTTCTTCTGAGCAAGCATATATGATTGTACTGTTAGCATGGGGTGTCCTGTTGTGATTAATGGTGCCAACGTGCCATATTTAATATATGAGCTCAGTCAAAGCAGGTTTTTAAATTTAGTTTATAGTGGGAAATCCAAAAATGTTCAAGCATCACTTGTGAAACTGGCCTTTATGTATGCATTGCTGAAATTCCCTTCAGGCTGTATCTATGCATGTACAATTGTTTGTCTGAAAGGGTGTACACTTGATGACTTGTACAGCCAACTGCTGAGTACACAGACTGCACACCCACTGAACATTATGTTACATGAGAATAACTGTGTGTATACAGCTCAGCTATTTGTGTACACAGGTACACATATAACACACCTGATGAAGGTAATGCTTGAACACCCCTACTGAGTAGGCAGCAGGAGCAGAATGGGAGGCCTCCATTTTTTCTTTTCCCCTCTGTACAACCATAGTACAGAATACTGCCATCTTTGACTATGCAGGCCATAAAGTAAAGGAGCCATTTCCACTGCCATACTTGCTCCTGGTGGTTGCATGGCTGGTAGCAGTGATATCATCAGAATAGGTCTCTGGGGCAGAAGTCCAGGACACCATGAATCAGAATGAATGGGAGAGGAGGACCCGAAACACTGTGGGCTTAGCTAACCACATTTTATTTTATTTTTTAAGTAAGGGATATAACACACATCACCATTTAAAAGACAGCAGTCCCCCTAAATACATAAAGTTCAGAGTCTAAAATTACCTAACTGCACTATGAGCTGGTAGAAGTGGGAAGTTTCCAGAGAGACCTCACTTTAAGCTTGCATGACTCTTCTGGAAAACAGGAGCTGCACTCTATGGTTCATTCGCATGACCTTTTAGTGGGGGAAAATATATCGTACATATAGCATATTATGCATGCCCTGAGGACACCACATAAGGCTGCTGCCCATACAAATGCAGCTAGACATGTAGCTTTCCGGACTCTGTAAAAGGAGAGAATAAAGTTAACAGATGTTGCAGTGAAATGGAAGGTGCATGTATAAGACAGAGATCCTCTTAGCAGCTGTTGGAATTATGACTGGACATATAGTTTGAAACACAGAGCATGCACAGAAGATTACAGCTTTGTACTGACTGTTCTATAGGACATTGTCCATGATACATGACCTTATAAAAGCATATGGTGAGGGCACTCACAGCCGTGTCTCCTGTGATCGACACAACCAAACCACCCTAATTTCTGCACTTAAATGAACCATGAACTAATCAAAGTTTTAAAACAAAAATGTTAAACAAGAAAGGGGTTTTTGTGTTGTGTTTGTTCATGATCAATTCAGCTTTTTTAGCACTATGGAGTGAGCTAGTGAGAAGCACCCTGCAGCTGTGAAAGGTATGCATATTTATTTATTTCCCCATCTTCCACCAAAGAGATCAAGGCACTGTACATAGTTCTCTCTCTCTCTCTCTCTCTCTCTCTCTCTCTCTCTCACACACACACACACACACACACACAGAGAGAGAGAGAGAGAGAGAGAGAGAGAGAGAGTTCTCACAACAATCCTATAAGGTAGATCAGACTGAGAGACAGTAACTGACCTAAAATCAACTTCGGCTGAGCTTCATGGCTGAATGGGAATTTGAATCCAGGTCTCTCCTCTTAAGCCAAACACTTCATCTACCACATCATACTGGCTGTCATGTATTTGTGATGGGTGTTTATGGATGATGGGGATCATTCATCTGAGCTTGCCTAGATTTTGCAGCAGGTCATGCACTGGACATCTTCCCAGCACACACACACACACACACACACACACACACACGATGCTGCTTATTGCTCTCATAGAGGTAATGACTTTCCTATAAATACACATATATACATACTTTTTCTGGCTTTGGAAGGGAATAGTTAGGTCAGAATTGAGAGCCCATGTGCTTCGGTAGCCAGTAATGTTAGACAAAGTCATACCAGATGTTCCACATTGTAGGATGCAAGGTTCACTGCCAAGACAGACAGACAGACAGACAGAGTGCACTAGCTTTCTGAGGTTGCTTGAAAATAGCAGTTTCAGAAGTCTTGGGGAAAAAGATGGATGTGGAAGTTCTTCCTCTACCAGCCATCCTCCTGTCTTGGTTAAGTTAGTAAATAAGCAGTGTTGTTGAGCAAGCATGAGTCAGAGCAGTGTTTGTACAGAGAGAAAAGTAAAAGGCAGAGAGCCAAACCTTCAGCTGGCCAAACTCATGTAAGTTCATTGATTTCCACAGGCGCTCGGCAGATTTAGCCCACAAATCCCATCTTGAGCACAAGGTGCAGACACATTCATTAAAGAGCAGGAACTGTTCCCATCTGTAGGAAGGAGCACTGGGGAGATTTTGTTCTTCTCTAATTAAAGCATTTTCCTTATTCCAAGAGCCCTTCTTTCTTTTTGTAGTTTCCCCGGCCTAAGCACCGAGAGAGGTTCCTTTGAAAAGGCAGCTGAGGAGAGAGACCATCCACCTGAAACGCGGGAGGCGGAAATCGTACACTCAGTGCAACTCTCTTTATCCCTTTTGTCTGGGAACTACAAAAAGAGAGAGTGAGTCTTGTTTTGTACACCTTTCAGAGCTCCACAGGCTGGCATTCATTCATTTCGGGCCATTTTCATGAGTGATGCTTAAATCAGGTCTCGCATTTCTTGTGTCTGTAAATGGAATTAAAACCTACATTGACTGGAAAATGTACATTTGGTTTAAAAAAAGTATTTCCCTCTCCCTTTCTGACTTGCATAACATTCACAGAGGACACATTTCAGGCTGAAAGGCAGCATTGCATATTTGTGCAAACACTCAAGTTGTGGACTTGTATTCAAAGTTGCATTTTTCTTATATGCCTGCTGCCTGCCATGCCTACAAAGGGGCATTTGAAATGCATGCTTGTGGGAAAATGCTGGAAAATAATTCACTGCTGAAAGAATAGCAAGTGGCTTCTCCTTCACTGATGTATTATCTTTCCGTATCTTACAGAAAATTGCCAGCAGTTGTGCGCCTCTGCATGAGCCGCTGAGCATCATACACATAAAACCTACAGTTGTGAGCATAGGGAGTGCATATCTGAAATTGGCCTTGCTTGCCTCGCCGTGTCTTGTAGGAAAAATACAAATGCAGAACAATTGGGCTACAGTAAATTTTCAAACTCAATTTGGCATATCCTGATTTCAGTGTGCAGCATGGTGCAATGTTACTCAAATGTAGCCAGCTGTGACTGGTTTGGGGGCTATTTGTCATATAATACTTTGAGAGCTGGCTTTTTCAGAGGCTTGGCAATTCCTCTTCCCTTTGTGTCACGGTTAGCACAATCCCTTGCAGTGATGTTTCATGAAAGGGGCAACGATCAAGCAAATTATACGTGTTTATACATGCAAATGTTTTAAATGTAAACTTTTAAATTCTTAAGAGAGATATTTGAATTGAATTGGAGAACCGGAGGTGAATACAAAAAAGTTGATTTCAAATTTAATTCATCCAGTGAAAATATCTGGGCTCAGTCCTAGAGACTTGCGCTATACGATCTTTGTCAAATCCATTTTACTCCTCTTCTTTCAGGAGAGCTTGGAGTGCATCATTATTTCCAGAAGTTCTTCGAAGTACAGCCAGTTTCCCAAGTGTCTAGCAGTCAACATGCTCTGCTGATCCTTTAGCCAGATCCTAGCAGTGCTGGATACTTTTATATGGGCTGTGCTATCTGGCTCCACATGTGCCTGGGGGGGCTTGCTGGAGCAATCAGGAACTTGTGGATTTCACTTTTGAATTTATTGAGACTCATTCTAAGATATCCCCTGCTCTGCAAAAGCAGGATGAGGCCACTAAAAGCTTATCTCAAGAGATGAGCGCAAACAGACAAAGGAAATTTCATTAGGGCTGAGCTTAGAGTAGACTGGAAACTATCAAAGTGGATCAATTACTGAGGACATGACTAGCCAAGGTAGCATTTCCTGGAATGCCTCTGTAATGTGGAACACTGGAGACACAGTCAAGGTGGCCCCTTTTCATCCCCTTCTTTTGTATTTTTCTAAAGTCGTTCCGCTTATCCTCCTTAAGCCCTCTGCTGTGGTCTATGGCTTTTTATTCCTATGTGATTGCTTTTCATAACTCATGTAGGGCTAAAAGCCATGGGCTACACAGAGGAATAATCCACTTTCTTGGGCACCTCAGCAAAGCTGTGTGAAATACAGATTCCTTAATGCTATCCCTCCTTCGTTTAATAAAACCAAACATCCATATTTATTTGTAGCCAACGGTGAATGAAAGAGAGGCTAGGGTATAGCGAGGCTTAGCTGGGTGAATGTGGCAAGGAATACTTAGCAAATGAATGTACAGAGGTGAAGGGACTGGTCTCTATACTTCTGGGCTTCTTCTCTCCATCCAGAGGTCTGAACAGCCACTGCAGTGCTCAGGATACAGCTCAGTTGTTGTGAGATGTTTCCTTTTTAAAGAAAAACACACACCAAACCTCTGCTTTCAAACCCAGGGCCCAAAGATTCCATTGCCTCGCAAAAAGCCCATCATAATAAATGCTCTGAGCAGAATGCAGAGTGATTTCCATGAAAGATACACCGAGTGATGGTAGTTAACTAGGCACGCCGAGAGCAGCTACCAGGTAATTAGAGACACTTTCTCACAGTCAGGTTCCACAGGTGTCCCAGCCAACAGCTGAGGGAAGCTAAGAAATCGAAAAGTTTGACTTTTCAGCCCACTGCACAGTTACAATAATTTTTAGACCAGCACTCCGGAAGACATGGATTTCCTGCCACTAGGGAATCTGCAAATGAAAACTGCTTCCTTTTAAAAGTGCATACCAGCCACATAAAAAGCCCTCCTCCTTAATATGTATGTGGTGCCAAATTCCTGGGTGCAAACATACATATGGAGTTCTGATTTCTGATGACATTCTCACACCACAGTCCTAAACATGTTTCTTATGTCCCACTGAGTACAACGGATCTCCCTCTGCTTAAGAAGGATTGTTGCTTTTAAGCATAGTCTGCCAAAAAGGCAATCAGCTGAATTTTGATAGCATATTGTTGGAGAGAGCCACTTCATGGGTACATTTGGAGAGCCTGATATGCCAAAATCTGGGCATTTTAGCATGGTCTTATCAGCTTCTCAACCGGCTTCCCTAGCTGTGCCTTTGGCAGCCATTGGGTGTCCAAACACCAGCAGGTGATAATATTTATCTACATGCTGTTATATATATATAAAATCACCTGCTGATTTCTGCAGACAGGAGCAGCCGATAACACTTTCCTCCGGGCTATAAAAAGTTCCACCTGCTAATTTTTGCAGATCAAGCAGCTAATAAAAGCAAATGTGGCAGACCAAGCCAGTTTGGGGTTTTCTGGTCAGTTGGCAATCCAGCTGTGGTTAGTGCCTCTGAGAAGCACATGTTGCTTACTGTAAACAGCTGCCAATCTTATCACTGAATGACTGGGTAGTTGTGTATTTGTGTATGGATAGGTTATTTTGAAAAGTGGGTGGATGGAGGTCTTCCTCCACCTCCTACTCCTTTATATCTAGGCGTATGATATCTGAGACTTCTTTCTAACACGACCACCCTAGAAAATGCGCCTCTGCTCCTATGGCAGACACTCCCTTTGTGTGCTGCAGTGCCAACTGCAAAGGTCATACCACACACCTGCTTTTCTGATTGTATTTCTCGTCGCGGTGAATGAAGGGGACTTGGATGGCCAGTGCCTAATTAACTAGCAATAATAGGAAAAGGGATGGAGGGGGATAAAGAACCCATTTAACCAGCTTCTTTGTTGCAAACCAAAATGTTTTCTTGTGCTGGGAAAGTAATGAGCAAAATCCCCTTTGCCTTTAGCCGAGCCTGAATTGGAACAAAACCCCTATGGAATGTACAGGCCTGTTTTCGCTTTTTCCGCCCCCCAATTGTATCTCTTAATGATCAGGGCAGCTGCATCTGGGGCCCAGGAGCTTTTGAAGGCCAGACTTTTAAATGGTCAACATTACTGAAAAGGATTGAGGAGCAGCTCTTCTCAAACCCTCAACCTTCCCTGTGTGGGTCTTGCTCACTTCTGCTACTTTCTGATCCCCAAGTTAGTTCATCTGGAAGAGGTAGCCAGTACAGTCCATTAAAATGATGATGATGATGATGATGATGATGATGATGATGATAGAATCCATAGGGACAGTAATCCTTTTACAAGGATCAATGGGCACCTCCAGACTGAATCTCATCCCAAAATAATGACAACCACATACCAGCAAATTCAGGTTGTGTAATTAAAGCTGGTTTAGAGCTCTTGTGCAACAAACTTGTTTCCCCAAAAGACTCTGCAGTAAGGGAAGGGATGAAGAAATGCAGTGGAAAGTGTGTGGCAACTTTTTCTTTGTCGTAGTGTCATCGAGCCTCTCCACAAACCAATCAGAATGAATGCTCAACCACTAGGTTATCTAGAAGCACCCTAGAACTCTGTACAGTATGTATTCTGGGGCTTGACAGCTTGGCCAACTCTTATGTCTTTAAAGGCAGCTAGCTGAGTAAAAATCAGTAGGTGAAGCTTGTCATGACCATCAGACATGTATTGGTGTTTCATGTCTGCTGATGAAGGTGCTGTTAAATGCACAGGAGCAGTGGCCAGTAAATAAGCAGCAATCCTGGCTGGAACAGAGAAGAAAGGAAGATCTTCTCCTTGGGGTGGGGGAATATATTAGCTGAATCTGTGTCCAGCACTAAGCAGCACTCACAAAACCCTTGTAAAGCAGACAATGAACTAAACTGATAATCTGGTGATCTCTGTAACAGCCAAGCGAGATATTGATTTTAGAAACAACATGCTAAGCATACAGGGACAATAGAATTGGAATTGAGCAGTGTTGCTGAGTGGTTGCAGGACTGCATATAGTTCCACCTTAGACAGCTCCGTCTCAGATGGCAGAAGGTCTGGACTGCGTATTCTAATTGCTTGTAATTGTAATGCTTCTCCTGCTAATCTAAGAGACAGGGATAATTTGTTTCTCTGTTTAATTAAATATTGAGCGCCCAACATCCTTTTTTATATTCCAGACACAGGAGACAGGCAATTGTTTGTAAGAGCAAATTTTTATATTCGTATATCAACCGATTCAAGAAACAGTAAGTGAGGTTGTCCCCAATAAATATTTGTTTGTTTAGCAAAGAGGCTCTGAACAAATTTATCACCAAGTTTTTGTAATGTAGGTTAGATCTTTGTCCCTCACACTTTGTGTCGCTCTTCTTTATGCTATTGATTTTCCTTTTAGCAAAGCAGATACCAAAAGAAGCACTCTGTTCCTGCAATGCTCCCATCGGATGGCAAGGACGGCAAGAGAAAGCGTTTTGTTTTGTTTAGGGCTTTGTCAATAGGATGGATAAATTAGTGTGACAATGTCATCTAATGGTTGAAATTATAGGGGGAAAGGGAGGGGGACCTTAATGGAATACGTGAGCCATTACCCCCAAATTGTACCCAAACCATAAGTATATAAAAAAGTCCTGCTGGATCAGATCCAGATGCAGTCTAGTCCAGCATTCTCAGAGCTGGCACAAGGCTTTAGG